GATCCCTGTTCCTCACTTACACTGCAGTACAAATCTGAACCCTCTAGGAGGCTTATTAAAAATGCAGGTTTCTAGGCCCTATCTCCAGCATCTGGGCCAGGAAGCCTTCGGAGGGGCTCAGGTGGGACAGTTTTAAGCAGTGGTGTCTCCGCGGATGCTGACCCAACCAGAACCGCAGCACACTCTGAAAACAGAGTGGGGGGAAGGGGGCTAAAAAGCACACAAGAGACAGACAATTCAAATGCTTCTCCACTGACAGTTTTGGAAGACGTCCCCTCCTTTCCATACCCAGTCCCTGCAGTTAAAAAACCAAAAAAACCCTCGGTTCAAACTCAAGTTTCCTAGAACACAAGCCACGCGAATCCACCACCGAGCACTTTCCTGCAAGACATGCAGATAGGAGTGGCCAGGTTTCCAAGGATCCAGACCTCGGTTCTGCAGAAACCTGTGGAAAGACCTCGAGAAGGAGGAAAGCTGCAGATAACCGCACGAATGAGAGCTGGGAAACCCATCAGCATCTTCCTGCAGCTGAATCCACAGTCATCAGACAATACGGGGATTGTGCTGACATCCGACCACTTAGAACGAAACTCCATTCCGCGCTCATGAACCTATTAGATGAAAAGTCCTCAATTTAGATAACTGCAAATTGCTTTCTGAGCATAATTTCCTATTAGTTTGCTAATCTCTCTATTCAGAACGCCAACAAGACAGCTGATGATAATTCCGGAGGAAGTGGCCATTAAGCCGAAGGAGGAGGAGAGGGGGTTAGACATTCGTGAGTATCCTGGCTTCCTGGGTAGGGGGGGTACCCCAAAATTAACCCATAAATTTAGTAACAGTATTTGCTTTCATGTATGATGTTCTTATAATACACCAGGTACTGGGGGCTGAGCATTTTACCTTACTTACCTCACTTAGGGTTTTGGGGGGCTTTTTGGTTTTTTGTATTTGTGGGTTTTTTTTAACAATCTAGTGAGGGAGATATTATTTTCCTCTTTTGACAGAAGAGGAAATGGGGCTCAGAAGTGGTCACATGACTGCTAGTAGTGGAGTCAGGATTCAAATACAGGTGTATGCGTGTGACCTACAACCCCAGATTCCAATCATGCCTTATCTTTTGGCTTATCACACAAATACTGGATGAGATGATGATGAACAAGACTCAAGTTTACAGAATGAGGCCAAGAGATGAAATAACACAAAAGCCTAAAAAATAGTTAGCAAAGATTGACCAGTCTTTAAAATCAAAAACAAAACAAAACAAAACCAAAAACAACAAAAAACAAACAAACAAAAAAACACACAAAAACCCAAAACCAAAAAAAACAACAACAAAAAACCAAAAAGCCGCCACTACCACCAACAAACAAAAAAACATCAAAACCCCAAAAGCAAGCCTCATCTACTGAAATGTCAGGCTGGAGAATAAAGTTTGATTTTGTCAAATTGCTACTTTTATATAGAGCAGTGGTTCTCAAAATGCGGTCCCAGGACCAGCAGCACCAGTGTCACCTGGGAACTTAGCAGAAATGCAAATTCTGGGGCTCCACCCCAGGCCTGCTACATCAGAGACTCTGGGGCAGGCCCAGGAGTTTTAACAAACCCTCCAGGGGATTCTGATGTACACTAGAGCTTGAGACCCCTGATCTAGACAAAATCAGCTCTACAAGGAATTTGGAGACTACTCAGAGCAGTGCTTCTCCAACCTTAACATGTACAAGAATCACTAGAACAATCTTTTTTTTTTAATATTTTATTTATTTATTTGACAGACAGAGATCACAAGTAGGCAGAGAGGCAGGCAGAGAGAGAGGGGGAAGGAGGCTTCTTGCTGAGCAGAAAGCCCGATGCGGGGCTCGATCCCAGGACCCTGAGATCATGACCTGAGCCGAAGGCAGAGGCTTAACTCACTGAGCCACCCAGGCGCCCCAAGAATCACCAGAACAATCTTAAAATGATACCACAGGTCTGGGCAGGGTCTGAGAGTCTGCATTTCTAACCAGCTCCCAGGTGATGCTGGTGCTGCTGGTCCAGGGACCACACGTGGAGCCACATGGGTCCAATCCTATCCTTCACCCCGAAGGTTTCTGGCAATAACAGAACCACCAATGGCGGAACAGAAGAGGAAATGGGGCAGGTTTCAGGGCAGGGGTGGGAGGAGGCACTGTCTTCAGGGCAGATTGAAACTCACACCTCTGGGATGTTTTAGGACAACAGGAAATGACTTGTGCCCCAGACTACTACTTTTCTGAAGTTCCCATTGGAGTGTGAGATCTCCCCTGGGCACTTTAATTCAAATCCTAGCCCTTCCCCCAGCCCCTCCTCACTCCCCTCACTGCTTTGTTCTCCTTTGCACTTAGCATCCTCTGAATAGAAAGATGACCTATTTCGCTGGTGTGTTGACTGTCCCTCCACTTCCCTGGCGAGCAGCGCTTTTGTGTGTTTTAGTCACTGTGATTTCCCTTCAGCCTAGAACCGTGCCTGGATTATAGTAGGTGCTCAATAAACAGCTGAGCAAATGAACAATTTCCCCCCCCCCAAAAGGCTGCTTCCTGATTCTTGGTGCCACCGCTCTGCACTGTCAACGGTCATGGCTCTTTACGTACACACTTCAGTTCTACCAAAATTCATTTCTCTATAGGTGCATCTTCCCCAAGTTCTGTTGCAGCTACACAAGCACAAAATTGTTGTAGTTACACAAATGTCAAAATACTGGAAGCATGCCAGACCTTCGGAGCAACTATAGACTCTCCTTCCACTGTTCTGGAAGCTTCTCTAAGAGCTGAGCAAATTGGTGAGATCAACAGTGCAATCCAACCTCGGCTGAATTCTGCTTCTTACACCCCAGGAGCCATTTCTGCACCAGGTGGAGTGAGGAAGAATGTTCTTTGACAGAACATGGTCATATGGGGTGAGAACATTTCATTGGCTCCTTCCCACAGCCCCAGGTAAGGGGCCAGCATCACACCCACTTTGCAGAGTGGAAAACTGAACCCCAAGATGACTGAGAAGTCGTTGGCTCAAGCTCATACACAGAATGCAGCAGTGGGACTGGGACTCACATTCAGTTCTGGCTACTTCCAAAGCCTGTGCTTCCCGCCCCCCCCCCCCCCCCCCCCGTTCCCATCCCTCCTCCAACCTCCTCCCCCACCCCCAGCAGGGTCTGAGTCTTTGTTCATTACTTCTAGAACAAGGAGCAAGAGCAAAGGCCGCCTCAGAGTTCCGCCTCTTGGGCTGAAAATTAAAACGGCTCAGGAAGTGTTCAGCCTCACTGACTCCTGGCTGCGTCCCTGTCACCTAATTACCCGACATCAAAGCCTCCACTCCGCAGGTGTGAGGATGTGAGAGCTGCCGCTTCCCTCAGAACACGGTGTGACTGGTGTGAGTACGCAAGGATGAGACAGGCCCCCCCGGGGCAGCTGGTGTGTGGGGAGTATCAGTGCACCCGAGGGCCTGGCCTCAAGCCTCTCAGAGTCAGAAAGGCCAGGGATCGCCATCCTGAGGGCTCCCTCACCTGAGAGCCAGGATCTAGGGGGGACCAATGTGGTCATTCTGGGCCATTGCTCCCCACTGCCCCTTATGCCTGGGAGTTTATGGCCCCTTATGGCTAATTAATCCTCCCCAACTCCGGGAAGGAAGGGAGCTCAGCCTTACCTCTGTTACTCAGGTGAGACACCCAGGCAGGGGGAGAACAAGCGCTCGCCACCGCTGCCGTCCCCTCCACCAAGGAGCAGGGATGTGCAGAGGCCAGAAGGAGCCCAAAGGGGTGTAGCCAGCCTGGGCTGGACAAGGAAAGACAGATTCCTACATTCTTTTCAATTGAACCGTTCCTATCAAGCAGACAGAGGCACTCTCACGTGGCGTTCTCAGATATAGTTATTATATGTTATTGACAATCTTACAGGAATTGGACCAGAAAAGTATTTTGCAAACGCTTATGGCAGGAGCGAGGGAGGCCAGGCAGAAAGGCATTCCCGACCCCTGACAGAGGACAGAACTCTGAGCCTGGCACTGTGCTATGTCCTTGAGTCCTGATTTGTTGGATGCTAACCGCCCCATCAGGCAGGAAGGAGGATTCTTCTTTTCATGCAGATTAAAAAACAAAACAAAACAAAACAAAAAAAAAATGAGGAAGAGAGATGTGGGGTGACTTGTCCAAGGTCACAGCTAGGGCGGAATAGAGCCAGGATTTGAACCCATCCTAGTCTGACTACAGAGTCCACGTCGGACATTTTTTCTGCCACTTTTCCTGCCTTTTGCCCAGCCACAAGCTGGCACGGGTGTGTGCAAGTGAGGGAGGTTTGCAAGGTCGAGCCTTCCCAACCAGAACTCGAGACCAACATGATGCCACAGAGGGGAGAGGAGTTAGGGGTCGGGACTGTGTGACCTCGGGCAGGGGCTTCTCCTGGCTGAGACTCGGCTTTCACATCTGTAAAACACGGAGAATCAGGATACCCTCCTCGGAGGAGAAAAAACAAAGGAGGAAAGGACTTCACAAACTCTAAGTCAGGAGTTGGCAAACTACGTGTGATGAGCCAAAGCCAGCCTGTAGCATGTATTTGTGAATAAGGTGTTACTGGAGTAAATAAATGTGTCACACCCGTTCGTTGACATACTGTCTGTGGCGGCAATTCTGCCACGGGGCAGAGTTGAGTCGTTGGGTCTCCAGACCCTAACGTATTTACTATTCAGCCAACTGGACCAAAAGTGGACCAACCCCTGATCTTAGAGGCTACAAATGTGCAAATACGGCGGTGCCTTGGCAAACAGTTTTCCACATTTTCCACATCATCCAACGACTCTGCTGCTTCCTCCAAATTGCCCTCCTTGACCCTTTCCCCAAAGGTAGAGGTTCCCTTAAGACATGGTTCTGAAACATGGAGCAAGCGATCCTCCAGAGAGCCAAGAAATCAAACCTCTGTAAGCTATTTCAAAGCCCAGCACAGCTCCCGTGGACCTCAGACACCACGAAAACATTTCTGGATGCAGCCACTTACTTGCAATTTTTACACTTGAGGCCGAAAAGCATTCCTTTCCCACAGACTGTGCACGTCTGAGACATCCAGTACTTGGTGGAAAACCTGTGGAAGAGAGACAGAAAACGTTCAAGGGCAAGGTTGCAGTGACCGGGCTATCTCTAGAAGGATGAGCTGCTTCAAGAGGAAGCACACAGGCCCCAGATTCTAGTCTTGCTTCTTCCAGGATGTGTGACTTCAGCAAGTTGTCCAGACCACCGGAGACTTGGTCTCCCCTGTCTGTAGAGTAGGGATGATAACCAACGTCCCAGGTGACTGGGGGGACCCAACGGGCCATGCATGTCTAGGGCATCCCACCGCCTCGCATGTAGTAAAGGCTCACTCAATTGGGTTGTAACTTCATTATTACCTGGACATTCGTAACAAGTCTTGCCTGGTGCCAGGCTATGTGCCGAGTTCAGTACTGGGATGGGGCGATGGATGGGGCTAGAGCTGTCCTCAGAGAACCACAAAGCAAGGTGGGGGCTCCCAGGAGCCCACCCATCACCCCCTCACTGCCAGTCACATCATCTGGGACACTGTGATGGGGGCCTTCCCCCCCCCAGAAGAGCTGAGGCCTCAAACTTGAGAAGAGGGTCCCCAAAGTGAAAGCTCTTGTAGGCGGTGAGCCCATCCTCCTCACCAATCACCACCACTTGCCTTGCGGCAAACGCAAGGCAGTGGGAGGGCTCCGATAGACAGCTAGGGAGAGGGAAACATCGGGAACAGAGGCGCATCACATTAACTTCCAGGGGCTCTCGCTGCTACCGGGGTGCTTTTTTCCCTCAAGAGATACCAGACAGCAGCGGGCCTGGCCCCAGAAAAGTGCTGAAGGTTGCCGGGTCAGAGTTAATTTTCATTTTCAATTTTTGCCACCTTCCGCAGGAGTTGTATCTAATCTCCTCTGCCTCCGAGTGTCAAAATGAAAATCAGAAGTGATTATGTAACTCGGTGCTTGAGAACTTTGAGGGCAAGGCTGCATCCCTCTGCAGTACCAACGTGCTTGATTTGGGTCAGTCACCCTCCGAGCAGGACCAGCCGCAGCCCAAAGCCTGTGTATCGAAGCAAATAGTAATGTTTGGAATGGGGACTCTTGTGACTGAGGAAACTTCCTCTCCAGTTCTGGACTTGGGGGTGGTTCAGTCTTTTTCTGTCTCTTCCACGGGGCCAGCAAGTCTGGCGGGCCCTACCGTGTGCCATTTGGCAGCTCTCGGGGATGAAGAGAATAGGCTTGTGGTTCCCCCCGACACCCTGCAACCAGCCCACTGTGTGGGGACAGCGGGCGGGCAGCACGAGCCTTGGAGCCTAGAGTTCTCTTTCTTTTCCAGTCCTCTCCCATCTCTGGGATCAGCTCTCTCTCCTCCTGAACTCTGGCTGGGGTGGCTTTGAGGACGGTGGAGGGAATGGGATTTTAATTTAATTTCTTCACCAAGGCTGGGGTGAGTCTAGGTCTCCTCCTTATGGCATGGAGCCGGGGGAGAAACACAGGGTGAGACAAAAGAGTAACAGGGCATCCCAAGTCCCGGCTCCTCCAAGAAGACCTTTCTAATGCCCAAGATCATCACCCTGCCTCTGGGAATCAGTATCTGAGGACGAGGTAGAACCAGATCTAAAACACTCTAGGTCGCTAGAGCCAGAACCGCGGGATAACGCCTAACAAGAGGGCGAGGCTGCGCTAGGGGCAGGGTCAGTCCCAGGGGTGAAGCCGGGCCAGGGGTGCGGCCAATACTGAATGAAGCTAAGCAGGGGTCTACTGAACCCACTGTTCTGAGCCAGAGATGGGGTCAATCTAGATGTGGAGCTGAGCCAAGGCTGTGGCCGACTTAGGGGTGGAGCTAAGACGGGGTGTGACCAACCGAGGGGTGGAGCTGAGCCAGGGGTGTGGCCTCTCCAGGGATGGAGCTGAGTCGGGACGGGACCAATCCAGGGGTGGAGTTGAGCCAGGAGTGTGGCCAACCCAGAGGTGGGACCAACCGAGGGGTGGAGCTGAGCCAGGGGTGTGGCCAACCCAGAGGTGCAGTTGTGCCCGAGGCAGTGGGGAAGCAAACAGACAGGGCCGTTCTCTTTGATGCCTTTCTCGGGGCATCTCCCGCCTGACCACGGACGAGTCTATCACGTATTTCTCGCGGCTTCCTCCACCATTTCCTCATTTAGTCTTAACAACTATCTTGTCAACATGTTTCTTTCAAAAACTGTTGACAAGGTGCCATTCTGGGAGAGTGTGCTCGTTCCGCCTGGCCCCGTACCCCCAATGGTGATCCATCTGCCCCTGATACTGCCCCCAACCCTTGTAGCCCCTCTCCCAGGTACCGTCGCAGTCTGTTAGCCCTCTAACCCTCCACCAGACCGCGAGCTCCACAAGGGCACAGGCCCTAGGTCTTGCGCGGTGCTGCTACCCAGGCACAGATATGCTCTACAAATACTAGCGCAAGAAATCCATGAATGAGTGCACAGGTCCCTCGGCCACTTCCCAGAGGCCTCGGTACAAAGAAAACTCTGAGCAGCAGTGTCCGAAAAACACAGAGTGCGAGGTTTAATTAGCTTGAAGGCCCATCACTTAGTCGTGCAGGGCCTCAGTCTCCCTATCTGTCAAATGGACATGACCACACTTGTGCTACTTACCCCACTGAGCTTATGGGAGACTGTGAGTATAACGACATAAAACGTAGAAAGTTAAATCTGGAAAGTTAATGAACTTCTTACAAGGAATGTTCAGTAGATACAAGTCTCCTTCCTGAAAGGACAGACCTACCCCTGGGGAGGTTATTTCCATGGACCCAACAGGGCTGGAGCTCTGGACTGACCTACACATCAACGGAGAATGAGCACCTCTGAGTTCAGTATGAAATCTTGTCTTCTGGGAGGGGAAACCCAAAATTAGGAATGTAAGGCACTTTTTTGACAATGGTACGGTTTACTGAGTGATTATTATACACCCTTCGCTTGGCACTTGGCATATATTATCTCATTTGACCTTCACCACACCTACGGGTAGGCAGAATTATCCGATGAGAGAACTGAGCCTCAGAGAGGTTAAGTAACTTCCTCAAGGTTGCAAAGCTTTACTAGCCGGGATTGGAACACAGGAAAGTCGGACTCCAAAGCTCTGGCTTTCTAACCATTACTTGCTGATTTTACCAGGGCCAGGTTAATAAGACGCCACAATGAGGTTTCGCTTGGCAGAGGAGAGAGGGGCATGACGACACAGGAGCTAGAGCAAAATGTCTGCCCAGCCTTTCCCCCCTCTGGCGGCTGAAGATCCCAGCCTTCACTGTGCCGGGAGGTGGGCCCCGGTGCCCAAAGGAATCCAGCCTACCTGTGCTTGATGGAGTTGCCGAGGTCTCTGCGAGGGATCTGTGGGGACCAGCGTGGCACGGACAGTGTGTCTGCAGGGAGAGGAGAGAGGAGGAGAAGAGCCCATTACACAGAGGGTCAGAGGTTGGGGCGGGCTCCAGCCAAGCCCTGGGAGGAAGAGGGAGGCTCGCAGACTTCAGTGACCACCACCATCACTCGCTAAACCGAAGCCAAATGGAATACTGGGTTAACATGTGTTACTTTGACTGAAGCAAGATCCCCTGAGCAGGGCAGCTAGAGAGTGCCATGAAAGAAGCCAGCTGTGGCAAGAATAAAAAATGAGCATCGCTTCCATTTATGGGGTGCTTAGTGTGTGCCAGGCATGTGGCAAGTGACTCACATGCTTTCATTCATTACATGCTCAAAACGACCCCAAAGAAAGGGGTGGTTAGCATCCCCACCCTACAGACGACACCACTGAGGCTTGGAGCAAGGAAGTCATTGGTGCAAGGTCATACACCTTGGAGAATGCACAGCAGCTGTGAATCCAGATTTGAGAGACTCTAGAAATGTGTGCAAAGTTCTAAAATGGTAGATTCCAAATGCCAGGCATGGATGCATCACTTTCCCTGTTTTGTCCTGTCCTGTAAAGCCCATAAAATTATTTACTTATTATCTTAAGGTAACCCTCTTTGTTTGTTTAAATACACTTATTTTAAAAGCACGCTCTATACTGAAAACTAATGTCACTTTCTGTATATTGTCACTGATCCTTTAAAATATGTCCAACCACGTACCGCTTAAACTCATGCTAAAAGAAGTGGATGGAGGGCCGCCTGGGTGGCTCAGCTGGTTAAGCATCTGAGCATCTGATTCTTGATTTCAGCTCACATCATGATCTCAGGGTTGTAGAGTGAGCCCCGTTTCAGGCTCTGTGCTGGGTGTGGAGCCTGCTTAAGATTCTCTCTCCCTCCTTCTCTTCCCCTCTCCCCACTTCTCTCTTAAAAAAAAAGTAAGTGGATGGGTTGAGAAGTGAACGGAAGAGTGAGTGGATGTATGAATAGACAGATGGGTAAATGGATTGGTAAGTGAGTGGATGGAGGGATGGTGGATGAATGTTTGGATAGGTGGGTAGATGGTCAGATGAGCAGGTAGATGGACGGATGGGTAGGTGGGTAGTTGGATGAATGAATGGATGGATGGATACATGGATTGGTAAGTGGATGGATGAATATTTGGATAGTCAGGTGGACAAATGGTTGGATAGGTAGGTAGAAATATAGGTAAGTAGGTAGATGGATAGGTGGGTAGGAAGGTGGTCAGAATGGTAAATGTGTGGATGGGTGGATGGATGGATGGATGGATGGGAGGATGGATGGGTGGATGGGTGGGTGGGTGGGTGGGTGGATGGGTGGATGGGAGGATGGATGGGTGGATGGGTGGGTGGGTGGGTGGATGGATGGGTGGATGGATGGGTGGATGGATGGGTGGATGGATGGATGGGTGGACGGATGGATGGGAGGATGGATGGGTGGATGGGTGGGTGGGTGGGTGGGTGGATTGGTGGATGGGTGATGGATGGGTAGGTGAGTGGATGAATTGGTAGGTGGGTAGATATAGATATAGGATGGATGAAGAGATGGCTAGATAGACTGATGGATGGATGGGAATGAGCAAGAAACCATAAACCACACGGACTTCAGACTGGATGCCTGTCCCCATCTGGTCTTTCTTTTCATGCCTTAAGCTAAATCCCCGGGGCTTCCACTAACACTCCACCTCACATCCCTCCTCTTCGACCTCGAAGGCCCTGAGGAGGTGTGTGAAACTGCAGCAGAAATGAAGCTGCACTGCGTGTGAAATCTCCACCAGCTAGGCAGAGAGGAAGCGAGTGGCTGACCAACACACCATCTCTCCTTTCACAGGCCAGAGAGATGGAGCCAGCTCCCTGTTTCCGGAGCTAACACACGCCTATCCCATTTTACACAGAGTGGTATGTTCCCTGGGAGCTGGTCATGTCTGAACCGATCAGAGAGCACTTAACCTCCAACCCACTCCCTCCTCTCTTCTGTCTAAGGACACCGTTGACAGCTATCTGAAAGCTGTTTCCAGAAACCCCAATTCTGCCCTTGTAAAGCTGGGACTCTTTCTGGGAGAGCTAATGATTTTCCAAGCCCAAAGGGCAGAGAAAAGCCACTCGAGGAGCAGTATGGTGTATCAATCAGAGTCATAGCCAGTGGAATTTCCTCCAGTTTAACGAAAAGCTAAATGTCACCCAATCCAAGCCATCTCGCCACTTGTTTCAGTTTCTGAGGGAAACAAAAAGGACAAGAAAGAAAAAACGATTTTAAAAAAGGAGTGAAAGAGAGCATTCTTTCCATTCCTAGCTCCTCTGGGGACTTAAGTCTGTTTTGGGAAGATGGATGCTACTTTCTAACTCCTTAAAATGCTTTCCCCAGCGCCAGGGCAGGTGCAGATGGGACAGCTGGCTGGAGAGAAAGCTCTCGTTAGCTCTGATGCACTGGCTCCTCACGGGAAATCTACAAAACTAGGAGTGCCGACTGGGCTTCATCTCATGGGACATTCGTAGTGGCTCTCTAGAAAGGCGTGTCGAGAAAGATACTGAGGCCCAACAGGAAAGAACACCAAGATTGATCAGCCATGTCCACCATGGGTGAAGAATAAGATAGAACCAACAAGTCTGTGTATATGTGCCCCTCCTGCAAGGACGGGGACCCCAGCCTCATCTTTGCATCACCAGAAGCAAAGCAAGTCCTTCTTATGTGTTTGCTGAGTCCAAGTGTATTATGATGGAAGCGTGAGCTAACTGATTGCTCAGTATGTGTTAGGCATTAGGCTGTGCACTGTAGACCTGGAAACTATGTCTCGGTGCAGTCAATGGCCTTGTTCTTCCCTATAAGACACAGGGCTCAGAGATGCAGTAACGTGCTAGAGGTCACGCAGCTAGGCACAGTAGAACCTCACAGAATAATTCTGCCATTCCTCGTAAGTCCTGCAAAAGCCCCTTCACCAGTATTCTCAGCCAAGGTAACCTGTGCCTCCCAAGGGACATCGGGCAATGGTTGTCACAGTAGGGTTAGGAGGTGTTATTGGCACCCAGTGGGTGGAGGCCATGGATTCGGGTCAACATCCTATAACGTGCAGGCCAGCCCTTCCATCAAAGAATTAACCAGCCCCAAATGTCAAAAGCAGCAAGGCTGAGAAGCCCTGATCTAGATATTTTCCACTTTCCTAACCACCTCGCGTCCCCCTGCCACCAACCCCAAGAAACCAACATGGTGCTTCCGAGGCTCAAGTCAGCAGAGAGCAAATCCTCTTTTATTATAAGCACATCTCACTTTCAGATTCATATCCCAGTTATGCTGTTATTCTCAATTACAGCACCTTCTCAAGAAGTAGAAGTAATTAAGTTTAGTCGTTTGGTTTCATTTCCTTCTGGCTGAAGGGGTGAATTCTGTCAATTACATCGCACAGTTACAGCGTCATTAGTCTCAAGCAGTAATAACCAACACGCGGCTTCGAACGTGGGTGTGCAGACCCGAACTTTGAGATCCTTGCTTTACTGTCTCCGTGTGGATTTCATTAAACTTGCCAACTCGAGCCTAAAAGCAAAGGAAAACTGTTTAAAGGGAAGGGGGGTGGTGGAAATCTATGAAAATCCAGGCCTTATCATAACAGAGAAGGCAAACAGCATTTACAGCAATTAAACTGATACAGAAACTTCTGTTTAACAATCAAAGCGCCTATTAAGATGTCTCCATAGCTGAACAAAAGCTTCTTTTCTACTCTAATTTTCTGATAACAAGTCATGCAGACACGGAGACAGAATTGTGTGCGTCCCTGGTGCCTTCAGTCCCAGGGGTAGAATAATAGAAATCTCTTCTCAGATGTTTTCATTTCCAGTGCACAGAAAGGGAGCGGTGGAGGGAAGGAGGGTCCGTCTCCCCTTCCACAGGTCTCTCTCTATGGTCTCTCAGCTGTTCCTCTCTACAGAAAGGGGGTAAACCAGGACCCTCAGTCTTTGAAACCCCCTTGGGAGCCAGACGGACAGACAGAAGCCCTGACACAAGGAACCGGCATTAATAAAGCATTCACGTTATGTAGAGCTTTGAAATGTGAAGCTTGGGCTCTGACCTGGCAGGAAGGAACTCAGGCCAAAAGAAGTCAGGTGTGTGGAAAATATTTTTTTAAAGATTTTATTTATTTATTTGATGGAGGGAGACTAGCAAGAGAGGGAACACAAGCTGGGGGAATGGGAGAGGGAGAAGCAGGCTTCCCGCTGAGCAGGAAGCCTGATGCGGGACTCGATCCCAGGACCCCGAGATCATGACCTGAGCCGAAGGCAGACATTTAATGACGGAGCCAACCAGGCACCCCTGGTGTGCGGAAAATATTTTAAAAACATTTAACACAGGGACGCCTGGGTGGCTCAGTTGGTTAAGCGGCTGCCTTCGGCTCAGGTCATGATCCCAGCATCCTGGGATCGAGTCCCACATCAGGCTCCTTGCTCAGCGGGGAGCCTGCTTCTCCCTCTGCCTCTGCCTCTGCCTGCCACTCTGTCTGCCGGTGCTCAATCTCTCTGACAAATAAATAAATAAAATTAAAAACAAACAAACAAACAAACAAAAAACATTTAACACAGAGACACCAGGTAAAAATAGGGGATGATAAAGCAAAGGAAGAGGAAAAGAAAAAGTATGAGAAAAAAAGATGGTGAAGACAAAGACAAAGAAAAAGAAGAAAAGAAATGAGAAAAATAATGATAGATCTGCTTTTTGTTGAGTTGAGTACTATGGTGTGCCAAGCTCTAGTGCCCAAATAAGCCCTTTCTGGATGTGACGTCATATAGCCCATCCCCTGCGGCCTGTGATGCATGGAACACAACAGCTGTTAGGGTTAGCTCCATCTCACCAAGAGGTAAGTCAGGAAGTCATGCCATTGGTCCAAGGTCACACAGCAAATAAAGGCCGGGACTGGGGTTTTTAATTCAGGTCACCAGAGTTGGGTTCAATAAATGATGGCCACTTTCATCCCCATTTCACAGACAGGAACACTGAGGCTTAGAAGTACA